TGATCAATGATTGATATGTGTCACAGCATGAGTTACGTCAAAAGCAGGATTTCCTTCATCCCTGTCCAATTTCACATTTTGTTGTGAGATCATTATGATTTATTCATTTAACATTTTTAGAAACATTTATGACATTCTGGACTGCACACTTGGTGTGTGGTAGTTTTAAACAATACATTAGAGAAGATTGCTGCTATATCTGTTAGGCACATATCAACCCGTTTGCTTTGTTGCATATGAGGAACCACCACTGTCATTTACTCCATTACACTATGAATTACTCCATGTTGTCTGCTACATTTGACCCCACCTAAACTATATTAAGATGAAAGCATGGTGAAAGTCTGTATTCAGTGAAAAACATTTATATTTAATTCCATTGAACATGATGCTTTTTTTAGCTGATTGGGTAATCTTAACTGTTAGACCTGCCCAAATCAATCCGAGCAGCTGAGTCCTTAACCATCTTCAGGCTAACCGAGACTTGTCATTTGCACTTATATATTGTTGCTCTTTTGTTAGTTTTGACTGCTTTTATTGTCCTCATTTGTAAGTCGCTTTGGATAAAAGCGTCTGCTAAATGACTAAATGTAAATGTAGAAAGATGTACAACTGCCAGGAAAGCACTGTAAATCTAAAAACGATACCTTTACTTTTACCATCTAGTTTGTTTCCAGGTTTAGAAATTAATCTTATTCAGATGTACATGCTTTCTTGCTGTACACTCTTAAAAATAAAGTTTCAAAAAGGGGTTTTCAGCTAACCATTTTCAAAACAAAAACAAAACAACAAAAAACTAATCAAAACAAAAAACAAATCAAATCAAAACAAAACAAAGCAAAGCAAAAAATAAATAAAAGATCAAAACAACAAACAAAAACAAAACAACAAAAACAAATCAAAACAACAAAAAACAAATTAAAACAAAAAACAAATCAAAACACAACAAAACAAATTAAAACAAAGCAAAACAAAACAACAAAAAACTAATCAAAACAAAATAAAAAACAAATCAAAACAACAAAACAAAAAGCAAAACAAAAAAACAACAAAACAAAAAACATTATTTTCTTAGTGTTAAGAACATTTTAAAAACCTTTTCCACTATAAAGAACCTTTTGTGGAATGAAAAGGTTCCATGGATATTAAAGGTTCTTCATGGAACCATCAATGCCATAAGAATCTTTATTTTTACGAGTGCATCCTTGTATCCGGAGTTGGCTAGGTGAAATATTCACCTGCCCAAATCAATCCGAGCAGCTGAGTCCTTAACCATCTTCAAGAAACGACAAAAAACACACCTGTTCCACCTTTATTTGACCCTCTAACTTAAGAACATTTTAAAAACCTTTTCCACTATAAAGAACCTTTTGTGGAATGAAAAGGTTCCATGGATATTAAAGGTTCTTCATGGAACCATCAATGCCATAAGAATCTTTATTTTTACGAGTGCATCCTTGTATCCGGAGTTGGCTAGGTGAAATATTCAGGATGTAGCCTATGCGGCTCCAGGCTTATGATTGTGCACTTTTTGTCAACTCGGTGCTCATGAAATGTTCAGCCTTTAAGTTTGTGGTGTTAAAAATAAAAGAGTGCACATGAAGCTTTGACAAAAGCGTGACCCACAGAGTTTTTACGGCCGGTTTAATCCTGTACTTTAGCCAGGCTAAAAGGCAAGTGTATTAGTGGCAGAGGGAGGGAGAAGGAAGTGACAGTGTGGGAGGAAGCCTGAATTCTCCTCAGTGGGTCATGTGTATGTTGTGTGCTCATGAAGTGCTGTCATCAGTTCTGACACACAAGAGACCAGCAAGCATCTGCTTAGCTGAGGTTTTCTTCTAAAAAAAAATGCACAAGAGACTTGTTTGTAAAGTTCCTAAGCACCTAAGCTTCCACTTTTGCGAAACTTATTTGTAAGTATGCAGTAAAAAATAACTCAAGATATTGTGATAGTTCCTAAAAATTAAAATTCTTTCATCATTTACTCACCCTCATGTCATTTCAAACAAGTATGACTTACTTTATAACAGGTTTGGAACGAACATGAGGTGAGCATAATAGAATTTTTATTTTGGATGAATTCTCCCTTTAATCTACGTTTGGTTTCAATGCATTAGATTGCTGCACCACATTACTGTCACTACATAGCCAAATTAGTCCAGAACTTACAAAACCGAGACGATTCACTGATTTAAATTGCTTGTGAAACCGTAAATCACAATGAATCACAACCCCACTAGCTGTCATGGCTCCAAACGCAGAAACAAGTGGACATCCTGAGCGGAAACCACCAACCCCACCGCTGCATTGCATTCCTTCACTTCATCTCCCCTCACTCTCGAACAAAGTCACTTGACCAGACCCCTATTTAGGAAGTGAAAGAGGAAGCCCCATATATCCCCATCCATCCTCACTGCCACACGGCTGCTGCTGTTCACGTGAAGGGTGAGAGAGATAGAGGACATTGGTATTATCCACACAACAAAACAGCCAGAAAGCAGGAACAGACCAGTTCTGACCAGCCAAGTTCTGCTTGAGAGATCAGGCACTTTTGACTCAATGTTCGGCCAGAGACTATTTAGTGGTTTAACTGAACTTAACTTGCTCTTGTTTTTATACCATAACTACAGACAGCCGTTGTATGTACGAAAGTTTTAAAATGGTAAAATTCTAAATGTTCTACATGGCACAAAATAGATCTTGTTTTGATATCATTGATAAACTTTACTAAATGCATGATTTTAATAATTATACAATCATAAATAAATGATAAATGTATATTGCATTCATACATATAATGTATATTATATTAAAACTATAAATGAAATAAATATCATTACACAATTATAAATAAAATGATATGAAAATGAAATTAAAATTATAAATGCTAATGTTTTAAAAAAAATTCAGTTCTAAATGGTGCAAATTTAATTCTCATTTTAATGTAATTAATCGGTGTTATTAAACGGTATTCAATATATTCACTATTGTAATTTAATATTATTATCAATCATAATATATATCATAATATGAAATTCTAATTGTATATTACATTAAATGTATGAATGTAATAAATATAATGTATATTATATTAAAAAATTCTAAATAAAATGAATATATTTATACAATTATAAATAAAATTAAATCATATAAATTATAATAAATAAAAAAAAGCAATGCCCATTTAAATATAATTAATATTTTTAATGATTATTCATTATATTTAATATTATTATGTTATTGTTTTATACTATTAATAATATAAAATTATAAATGTAGCATATATTATGTCAAATTTATAATTGTAATAAATATAAAACATATTAAAATTAATGTATTATATTATAAATAATATAAACAATTGTAAAGGTATTACATGTAATAAACAATGTATATTATATTTAAAATACATTTTATTAGATGACTGTAACAGCAAAATAATACAATAATAAATTAAATTCTTAATAAATTACAAATGATAAATGTATAAATGTAATAATCAATAAACAGAATAAACAGTTTTTCTGCCAAATTATAGTTCATAAACTTGAATATAACTTTGCAAGTTGACAAATTAATACTAAACATTAACAGTGTGCATTTATGTGTACAATAAATACTTTAAACCCAGCTCATACAGAGTCATAATTCACAACCAGAATTTGAAAGCCTTTGTTAGTCTAATACCAACTCTTTTTGCGCTTTTGCTTGTTCGTGGTCTCTTCCTGCCTCAGTCTTTCTGGTTCCAGTGACCCTCTGATGCCACAGAGCAGCAGACACCTTGGGCAGAGTGCTGACTCAATGACCCCTCCCCCTCGGGCAAAGGCAGAGCGGGGGAAGGAGGGGACGGCCACAATATCTCACGTGCAAAGAGAGGTTGTTACAGACTTTTACAACAGCACTGCTTTCCTGAGATAAAACACTGTACACCGAGTCTTTCTCACTACAAGAACAGCACAAAACAAAACACCGATCAATGATACAAATGATTATCTACATTTAAAAAAATACATGCATTTGTATAGAGTCAATCGGAACCCGAGAAATGATAAGTGCTGTGAAAAATCCACAGAAAACGGACCTGAATGAATGTCAATAATGAGCTTATCTATAAAGTCTTATGGCACATTAGTCCAATTTTTATTGATCAGACCATACAATGCTTTCATACAAATCATTCTCATGAATGACAAGCTAACTTTGGGATGAGAAAGAGATCATGAAGCTGTTGCTTAGTGAAAAACTGCTTTTGCACCTGTGACCCTGTATTGCACAGGTGGCACGTCATTACAAGGAGATCAGTCTTGCGCTAACTGTTAAGGAGCAGTTGACAACAAGGTCGAGGGTTAAAGGCTGTTTTGCCACACATGTTGCTTGGATCCCGAGAAAAGGAGAGTTGTGTAAAACAAAAATAACAACCAGTGTTTGAAGATCTATTTATGTCAGTGTTGTGAAAGTGTATTGCACTGCTTTACTTTTTTCATTTACCTGCGTGACTAAGTTTGCGTATTGAAATCATTTTCGATTCATTACCAAAGTGCAAATGTTCCAACATTGTGGTTTCGAGTGTAGATTACTCATTTTGCTCGTAAAGTTTGTCATAATGGGCTGGCCTTTCCAGCAAAACCTTCAGTGTTACTGGAGTTCGTAGTTTCAAGAGAAATCAAAAAACAGTTCAGATGGATGGCCTTTGCTTTCCTCTTAAGGAGAGGGCAAAACTTATTTCCACCTTGGTACAATCAGTGCTGTGCAGCTCTTCTCCGAGTCTCTCGAGTCATTCGAAACACAGTTGTCTCAGAAAACAGCCGTTAATCAAGGTCAAAGGTTGCTGCGAGTAGACATACCTGTGCACTGGGTTATTTTTTATGTTCTCATGATATTTCAAGTCAGTCTGTTGATGGGTTACATATAAAACATCCGTGCTACGTAAGTTTCGTGCAAAAGCAGTTTGAACTGCATTCTGGGAGAAGTGTAAGAAAAATAAGAGAACCCAAATGCTTTTTTTTTTCTTCAAAAATTTATTCTGGAGATAACAATGAAATGCAAATCACAAACGTCTACTCTTCAGAAGAGTTTCAAGGAACAAATACAACTGATTAATGAAACAAATTAAAGATATACAAAATGTTCAAATAAACAAAAATACCAACACAATGCATCTATTGCCAAAAAGGTCAAATGTCATTCGCATAGCTGAGATGACTGATGAAGACTGTTGTGAAAACTAGAAGATAACAGATACATTATCAAAACCAGCTTGACATGTCAGAGATAAAGTTGAGTGAAAATATAAAATACCAAATAACAGAATTAAAACTTTCTCCTCTGCTGACAAAAACACCTAAAAGAAGTCTAACATGGTTTTCTGGTCTTTCAGCTGGTCAGACCAGCAAACAATCTTAAGCTGTTTTTTTAATATCATTAAAGAGAAACTTTATCAACATTAAATATATGCAGAACTATCGCAAAAATTCAGGCGATGGGGGATTTTCACAAGAGGGTCCATTACTCAGTTCATTCCGACAACTAGCCTCTCGCATTTGAGTTTGTACGCGTCCCTCTCGCGCACCAGCCTATTGAGCTCGTGCTTCAGCTGCTCCACCTGCGTCGCGAGGCTCGTCTTCTCGTTCTCCAGTACGTGTTTCTGCTGAACGCGTTTGTGTCGACACGACTGAGCGTACCCGCGGTTTTTCAAGGTACGGCGTTTCTGCTTCAGCCGGATAATATCGTCCTTGCTCATGCCGCGGAGGTGTCGGTTGAGCTCGCGCACAGTCATGGACACCAGCTGCTGGTCGGAGAAGCGGCTCTCCGCGCGCTCGCCGCGTCTGTGGTGCGTCTGCTGGTGGATATTATGCGACTTGAGCTGCGTCGCGCCTTGAGGTGCACAGTCGAGATGCTGCATTAACTGATCCACGCTTTTGCCGTGCGCGAAGTCGGGATTGTGGCCGAGTTCGGTGTACTGCTCCTGATGGTATTGATGCATGTTTGGTGCGTGGAACTGACCGATGCTCCTGTATCCATGCTCCATCTCTGCCTGGTGGAGCTGAGACGGGTGTGCCTGCATGAGATTGGCACTTAAGGCTTCCCGGACATCCTCGGGTGTCAGTTCAAGGCAGTGGGGATCTGTGTGCTGCGGATAAGCCCCCGTGCTCAGGGTCCAGTAGAGATCTTCAGCACCGCTTCTCTGTCCGCTTGGGCTGAAGCTCGGGGATGAAGGCACGGAGCTGCATGGGGTGCTCATGGGTGTGCTGGACACGGAGCCTGGCACGTGTATACCGCACTGCTGGATAAAAGAGCGGTCCGGTCCAAAAGCTGCAGCCTCCTTTTTCACATCGAACCTCATGTCAAAGTCACCGTAGTCCAAATTCAGCTGATGCTGCTCCGCCGTCATGATTTCTGCTGATGTTTCGATGATGTGAACAACTTGTTACTGTGGTTTAGGCTGCATTAATGTTCTGAAAACACGGTTCCGTCGCTTATAAAATCGAGCTGGAAGTCAAGACAGCTCTTTTAGCCACCCTCCTAAACGCCTTAGCCGACAGAAAGTTTGCAAGTCGCTTTTTAGTTTCAGATGGTCTTTCGGAGAACAGCGCAGGATGTAGCTGTGTTGAAAAGAAAGTAAATCACGCAGCTTTAAAAGCAGCCGCGCCGCGAGGCCACGCCCTCTTTCCTATCACAGCTGTCACTCTCACCAAAACACGTCCAAGTTACGTTTAGTACTCCAAATCAAAAGAAAATGTCGCATTTTGTATAGCCTACAGATAAGGGAACCTATTAATAAAAGGTTTTATAAAACAAAATCAAATTACCACACTTTTTATATTCAGTTTGTCAGGGTTGATTTTGATTCTCAGTATCGTAACATAGGCTTTTTTTGTTAAATAAGCAGTCCATAAATGAAAGACTAACACGCTACTATCACAATATAGCCAGCACATACTTTACAGCATGACGATCACTGACAGTAACAAGCAATAAATCTGAGCTATTAAAACCTGAATGTCACTGTAAAATGCACTGATACTCACAGGTGGTGCAACGCAAGGCCACATGATCACTTAAAGTTGGCCTCTCTAGCAACTGTGACCAACAATAATAAAGTCAAAGCACAGTGTCATCCACACAAGACCATCAGGGTAGCACATGACACTAACATGAAGGCTTTAACTAAATATAAGCATCAAGTAATTAACTAAATAACATAAATACAACATCAAGAACTATAATGCACATAACAGATAACAAAAATAAAAAAGTTAGAAAAATGTAAATATCTAATAATTATGAGAATAATATATCTGTATAGAAGATATATATTACAGTATATATACACACACACACACACACACACACACACAGTATGTCTTCTCTCCCCTCAGCAAACATTCTCAGAAACAAGACCGTGTAACTGTAACAAGACAGTGTAATTAAGATAAGTGATACTGAAAAAACAAAAGTTAAAATATATCTCTAAACGGAAGCAATTTTAAGATGAGCCAATATAAGTTAAGATGGTATTTGGACCCGAGTTCACAACTAAGTGATTATCTCAGTCTAAGATCCTCCGAAATCTCATGTGGTATGACTGCATGTTTCTCTGTTAACTCTTTTACCGACACCATGTGGCCATTATGTGAAGCTGCTGACATGTTTTCCAATTTCCGATACGGTAGGTAATTTTTACATTTAAAGGTGAACAGTTAAGACAGCATCAGTGCAACTACCTTTAAATGTTTTGTCAGGAAAGTCTTGGCTGTAACATCACCCAAAACCTGGAACAATGTTTAAAGTGCTTGTAACAAGGATGTCGAGAGGGAATATATTTGTATACACAACATTCACAGTATTGAAGAACTGGTGCCTCGGTCTGCTGAATATTTAGTAAACACTAAGGCACCAATAAAGTGAAGGAAACAAGTGCACAGAAGCAGAAACTTGACAGAACATCCATGGATCTACTGGGAAACATTCAAAGTACAATGATGACAAGACACCAAAAGGCTGAGGTAATGATTGCCGGAGAACAGCTAAGGTACGCTATATTAACAAAGTTAATCTCACCACACTTCAAGACTTTAAATATTTAATTATTTGTTATATATTGAAACATTATTCTGTTATACAGTAGGTAATATTCTTAATGTTTCCATACTAATGGTTGCTAATACAACTATCTTGATTTTGAAGATTGCGACTACATGATAGCAAGTTGATCAAGGACCGCAGACACCATTTGCGAACGTACCCGAATTGTTTTGTGGCTCAGGAGCTTATTGACTGGCTGATTGCTCATAAAGAAGTGCCTGATCGAGAGACTGCAGTCCAGCTCATGCAGCACCTCATGGACCATGATATCATTCATCACGGTACAATATTATTTACTGTACACCAAATAACAAAGCGTGTGATACAACAAGGTCATGTCTGTTTTCCTTCTGTTGACTCATATTAGGACCCATTTATTTGACTCTTAATGTTTGAGAAAACAGATTGTATACTTTACCATCTTTTCATCTTTATAGTGTGTGATAAGTGGCCCGTGTTTAAAGACGCCCAATACTTACACAGATTCAGAAAGGATGATGGCACATTTCCTTTCAACATAGAGGTTAAGATCTTCATGCGTGGACAGAGGCTGTATGAACAGTAAGACATTTTCTTAGGAAATGTAAAAAAAAGTTTTAAATGTTAATTTGGTAGGCTACTTATTTTTGAAGTAAGTTTTAATTGCATTAAGAATTTTATTATTATGACATAATATCTGTCTACTATATATTATACCTGCCACCAAGTGCAATTTGTTGTTTAGGGGTCTTTAAGCTACTTTCCCCAAAGACCTTAAGCCTACTATAATATTTATTAGGGCTGCACAATTAATCAAATTTCTAATCGCAATTACAATACCATTCATATTTTTACTTTTTTTATAATTTAAAGAAGAAACCAATCCGATGTATATTTGTTTTTTGAGGCTTAATACTATAGAAAAGCACTAAAGGTTTTTCAGTTAGAGTGTTTTCAGCTTGTTTATTTTCATATAAAAATACGGCATGCAGCTGCATCAAACAATGGTATAAACATCATTCAATGTACATTGTGATAATCGGAATTAATAATCGCAATTCAGAGTTCAAATCAGAGGTTGCGTAGACTTTAACATTGTCCGTCATTTTGATGGACAGGGTCATAAAAATTCCGTCATAATCTATTATTACCCGTCATTTTAATTTTCATATTTTAATTATAATAACACATTTAATTGCTTGTATTTTTGTTCACATTTTCATTTCTAATAATGAACCTACAGGACGAGCATACAGGCTTATGCATTTATTTATTTATGAAGAGAACAAATGAACAGAGACTGCACCTCACTTTTCATGTTCACCACCACACCCCGCAGTGACAGCAGAGGCCACTAAAAACAAAACATGCTAGGGCTGGGTAAAAAAATATTGATTTTAATAGATTCTCATTTTTATGAACCAATGTCGATTCTTAAATCTCAATCTATGCTGTTTTCAGTTGATGAATGAACCGTAGCCTACATATAGTATGTGCGCCTCCTAGGGCGATATAGCTAAAAAATGTATCAACGATATAATGTTTCATATCGTTCGGTATCGATAATTATTTACATTTTTTATAACCTTTTTTAAAACAAAGAGCAATAGAATTTATTTTTTTGTATTTAACCACTGTATTTTTAAATTAACCCAATGTATTGAGACAAACAACAAATATTTTTTGTTTTAACAATCAAACACAAAATAAAAATTAAACAAATATCTAATTTCTAATGTTTTATATGCAGATTAAATAGGTTTTAAGGAAACTTTTGTCTTGTCTCCCGAGGCCACAGGAGGGTGCAATGAGCAAAATAACAGCGCATTTAAATTGTCTTTAAAAACCGTGCATTAGGTCTAAATTAACTAATAAAAATCAAATATAATTTCGTAAATTGCATAAGATACATTGATGTGTAAAGACACAAAACGATCGGTCTGTGCAAGAAACTGAACAGTATTTATATAGTTTTTTACCTCTTGATTCACGCAATGTCCGAACTTGTCCAGAGCGGCGGCGCATCCTCCTGAGCACGTTCTCAACAGCAGGCGTGTACTACATCTTGGATGCCCTGGGGGTAAGCAGATAAACAGCAAATTTTCATTTTTGAAAATTAAAAATTGATGCACACCTAACATTCAAATGAAAATGTTTATTTTAAACTTGACTAATATAAATTTTTTTATTCACAATCTCAGGCAGGCACAGCACTCAATTCAGCATGTGTTTGTGTCTGCTGTCTGCGTCACTCATAGCATGTACCTATATCGTGTGCCATATTGAAAATTTTTTCTATCGTTATCGAAGAAGGTGTACCGTCGATAAATATCAATACCGTTTTATCGCCCAGGCCTAGCGCCTCCCATCCAATAAATCGCAAAAAGCTAAGCTACTTTTGATATGAAACAAAGGCTGAATCCGAAAACTGAAACTGATTTCGGACAGGCTTCTGAGGCAGCGTAATGGTTTAATTATCTACAACAAAATAGAATGAGTTTTGGTGATAACTAAACGAATACTTAATTACTATAATACTGATTTCTTGCTAGAAATAACGTCAAAAGTGCAAAAAGTTAGTCAGAAATATACATTTCATATACAAACATACACACTGACCACCAAAAGCAACTTTCAGATGCCATCTTTATTTTTTAGCTCAACCGTCCAATAGTATAACCGTCACGGAATGGAACGCACAGGATTGTGGGATATCAAAGAAGGTACCTCCGGAGACAGGAAGTGAAGCAGAATTTAGATTCAGACCTGCCTTGAGATGCCTTCCTGCCTTGGAATGGAATTTTAGAGATTTTGGACGCAGCCAAAGTCTTAGATTTCAAATTCTGTCCATTTTATTAGGAAATTCAAGCAATAAATACCATTTTGGCGCTCTTTAATGTGGCGCGATAGATCGCTGTAGACACCTCAGATCAAGCGAAGCAGCAGCGCTTATTTTTAATTCAGTGCATAAAATAAGCTTCTAAGTGGAAAAATAGACTATATTATAGCGAATAACTGTGTTGGATAGAACCATTTCTCCTGCTCATCGGAACACACGCAAATGCTGAAAGACAGAACCAATCAATCACAGACAGCGTTCGCTGCTGAAGCATGGCTCACAGTGCTTGTTCAAAGAGGGCCGCGTTTCCCAAAAGCATCAGAAGCTTAAGTAGATCTATAGAAACCATTGCCATATTATTACATTACATAACATTGTTACTATATCTAAAATTAATTCTGAAAAATGCATGACGGTTTCCACACAAATATAAAGCAGCAATAATAATAAATGCTTCTTGAGCAGCAAATTATATTAGAATGATTTCTGAAAGATCATGTGACACTGAAGACTGGAGTAATGATGCTGAAAATTCAGCTTTGATCACAGATCATTTTAAATTACTTTTTAAAATATATTAAAATAGAAAATAGTTATTTTTAATTGTTATATTTTACAATATTGCTGCTTTTACTGTTTTTTTTGTTTTTGTTTTTTAAATAAGTGCAGTCTTGGTGAGCATGAGACTTTAAAAAAATTACAAAATCTTACTGACCCCAAACTTTTGTGTACACGTAATATTTATTTTAAATTGGCTAGTTTGTGCAAGTAAATTTATTTAAACTGGTTGTTAAAAGTTCAAATGGATTGTGTTCTGTTCCGTAATTGCTGTTAATAAATCTGTCAGAAAAAAAATATGCTAAAGTTTCACCTTTAGGGGTAAAACAGCCTGGCTGCCTTTTACAAAAATTAACCATGGTTTTATTACAGTAACCACAGTTTACCATGGTAATAATAATAATAATAATAATACATTTTAGTACTTATGTAACACCATGTTTATTTTTCATGAGGTACCCTCAAAGGTGCACCTTTGTAACTTATCTACCCTTAAAGCATGCATACTTGTATGGTACTAATATGCTCCCTTTTAGGGGTATAGTTGCACCTTTGAGGTTACTGCCCCAGTAAAGGGCTAATTTTTGAAAGCTTTTATTTTTGACAGTGTAAACAAAAGAAGTGTTAAAAATGTGGCTTTAAAATCTAATATTAAGTGAGTATAATTACTGATTATATTCTTTTAATAATTTAAAAGATCAATTTAGTTTATAGGTATCGATATCAACGATACTGGGCTTGAAAATATCGGTATCGGATCTAAAATAAAATAAGAGGTATCAGCCAATCCCTAGATTTTTGTTTTGGAGCTGATGATCCCGCGCTCTGCTGCCACACTGAAGCGCACTCGCCACCAACTGGACAGGGGTGGGAATTACAGTTATAAACTGTATTCCACCTTCAATACCACGACTGAGGTGCCCTTGAGCAAGGCACCGAACCCCCAACTGCTCCCCGGGCGCCGCAGCAAAAAAATGGCTGCCCACTGCTCCGGGTGTGTGTTCACGGTGTGTGTGTGTTCACTGCTGTGTGTGTGCACTTTGGATGAGATAAATGCAGAGCACTAATTCCGAGTATGGGTCACCATACTTGGCCACATGTCACATGACTATATATACTGTATAGTACATACATATATATATATATATATATATACATTCAGTGGTCTGGGATCAGTACATTTTTTAAAGGAATTAACACGGGCTTTTGTTAAGCAAGGGTGCAATCAATTGATCAAAAGTGACAGTACATTTGTAATGTTACAAAGGATTTCTTTTTCAAACAAATGCTGTTATTTTGAACTGTCTATTTGTCAAAGAATTCTGAAAAAATAGTATTGTGGTTTCCACAAAACTATTAAGCAGTAAAACGGTTTTTGATATTGATAATTATAAATAGCCTATCTCTTGAGCACTAAATCATCATAGCAATCAGCTTTGCCATCACAGGAATAAATTACATTTTAAAATATGTAAAACAGTTATTTTAAATTGTAATAATATTTCACAATATTACTGTTTTTACTGTATTTTGTTTTAATAAATGCAGCCAAAGAGACAATTTTCAAAAACATACAAGATTTTTTTCTAACCCCAAACTTTTGAATGGTAGTATATTAATAAATGTAGTAATCTACATTAATAAATGCTGCAAAATAATTGTCATAATTAGTCTCATTTAGACGAGATTTTCAAAATTCATCTGCTGCTTTTTACAGTCTGATTACAAGCAAAGACTCCATCTTACAGCTGAGACAGGAAAAGGGAGTGGCTTATGATCGTTCTTTCCCTGGTTACATGTTAATTGATTGGCTGCTACAGAACGGTGAAATAGAGAGTCGATGGCAAGGACTGGATCTCTGCAAGGCCCTACTAGAGCATGGTATCATTCAGCATGGTAAGAACACTAACTATCACCTAGATTATGACAGTGTGCGTTTTATTTAGCCATTAGCAGGTCTAAATGCACTGTCTGTTAAGTTAATCTAATGCAACATACCTGTGTATAGAGCGATGACCTCTTGAAGAAACGTTATATCTGCAGTGATTTCGCTCTTCATGCTTTGCCTTGCTGAAACAGTCCACTCTTCATTTCACTCTGCAGTCTCTCTGAAGCACCACTTCTTTGACAGCGGGCTGCTGTATCAATTCTGCATTAACTTTCGCCGGCGGCGCCATCTTTCTGAACTGTTGCATGAGACAGAGAATGAAGAGGTTGAATGTATAACACACCAAAGCCAAGAAGACCAGGCTGACAGTCCCTTCACAATGCACAAAACTCCTCCACCTGAAGGCAACAGTGACTTTTCATCTGGTAGTAAAATCAGTACAAATACAACAAATATATTTCAGTGCTTTGATATGTGGAGTGTTAGAGCTTGAGAGGTGGTGCTTAGGCAAATGGCCCAATTTAACCAGAGGGAGTTTCAGCACACTAATTACCTGGTCAACCCCTCTGGAGTAATGAAAGCAATATGAAGTTAAGTGCCTTGCGCAAGGGCACAGCTGGGATATCACAGCATAATGAGCTCAGTAACTCTCCATTTTCATGGACAGCCATACATGTAACCTGCAACCTTTGTGTCAGCAGCCTAGCTCCTTAACCTAGGGTTTCTCATTATTTTATTTTACACTAAAGGCTCCTTTTCATAACCCCAAACTACTCATGGACCCCCTGACACATGACAAAATCTAATACAAGACTACCCATTAGGCCAACATAACCATTTGAGCAAATTACTGATATATATTTGTAATTACTAATATAATATAATGGGGTCAGTATATGATTTTTTTTTAAAGCTGCAGTCCGTAACTTTTTTTGGTTAAAAATGATCCGAAATCAATATTTGAGCAAGTACATAACCAGCCAGTGTTCAAAACTATTGCCTTACTTAAGCCCGATTCACAACGGTAAATTTATAATAATGTTTTCTAATTTGAGTGGTACGGTGAGTGGTAAAGAAGTTGTCCCGGCTAGTAGTCTATCGCATGTGAGGATCCTGGAAGTGGCGGATCGTTTATAGCCTTTTCTCACAGCAGCTAGAATAATTCATTTTATCATTTTGATGGCAGATTGTAATCCAGAAAGGATTATGTGTTTATGAAACACAT